CATAGAAAGTCTGTGACAGAGCAGGTAGTTGGATCATGTTCTCCTAGATCTTGAGACAAGTAATCTAGCTCCTGGGCTATTCCGCTACCTGTGAACCTTTTTGGCAAAAAGGGAAATTGCATAGGCTGTAGTAATTCCTGTAAGTTTTCAAGCACATTTGTGTGTGAATATGAGTTCTAAAATCCTGTATCTGTTGAAGTTAAACCCCATTTTGCTGTTGACTTTAGCAGGATTCAGATCTCAGTGAAAACACATGCTTACAGTTAGTAGAAGCTTGTAGCATCAAAATATTCTGATGTTAGCATAGTAACCCATGGAAATTACCACAAATTGAAAGGCTAGGACTTTGAATGTTGATTCTCATATACTGTATAAAATCATAATTCTGTTTGCTACTCATTGCCAACTCCAGACAAATTTCCCAATTTAATCCCGGTTTCGTAACTTTTACTAGATTGGCTTTTTGGCAGAGTTACTGTAAATCCAGTTAGCAGTTTGTCTAAGAAACTGGCATATATTGTATCTCGGCATCTGTTTCCAAGCTGTAACACTCCTTGGCTTCAATGTCTAATCTAGGGTACTCTGACTGAAATCTTCTGTTATGTTTGGATTCTCTCTCTCCTCCCCTCCCTCTCTCTTTCAGCAGTGGGAGAGGTATCACTCAATATCATGCTATCCAAATGTAAACACAAACCCTTGAAGAGTCTGGCAAGTCATCTGTGGTACACAGCTAGACAATATTAAAAATACACTTCAGCTCAAAGTGATAGAGCAAGAGGAAAACAGAAGAGAAAGCAAATGAGGTTTGCATCTCCAACTCCCACAGACCTGCCAGCTGGAGTGAGCGGCTTAGGAGTGTGTGTTAAATCATGAGGACCTCAGGTTCCCTTTCCTAGGTGATGAGTTCTGGAAGACAGGATCCTCATGAGGAAAACCTGTCTGTACTTTATTGTTGATTAGATCTAGATCTTTAGAAGACAGCTACAAGTGGTTGTTCAGTTATTCATTCCCACGATTATTAGGAGTTTATACCTATTAATGTCAAGATCTGGTCTTAGTCAGGTTCTTAAATCTCATTTCTAGTACAGAGCAAACAAGCTTCCGTGAGAACTGCTTGGGGTTTAGTTCCCATCCTTAGTCCAAAATTGCCTACATTTGCTGACCTTTGGGAGATAATGTGAAGCTTGTTTTTGAGCAACCTTTTTGGAGTGATTGAATTAAGTGTAATTCTTGCGCTCTGGGGAACAGAGTTCTTGGTGATTCTTGTGACTTTTCTGAGGCTGACTGCTTAGCATAGGAACTGCGAGGAGATGATTCTGTCTGATCAGCACTGAGGTATTGTTTGTGGTGATGTGGCCTGTGTGATGAGTTAGGTTCTGAATATGGGTTTACAGGCCATATCTCCTCCCATTGAGGAGATAATATCATTAATTTCTAAGTTTTGCCTGTAAAGCTGAATTTCCTCTATTTATAGTCCCATTGGTGAAGCCTGTAAATGTTTTCAAATGCCAGGTTAAAAGAATCAGTTTGCATTACACATCGATATTGTTTTCACATTTGCCCAAATCCCCCCAAAATCTCTGTCTGCCCTTTTCTCCCCACACTTCTTTTTGTTTCTACATGGCCTATTCTAACTGAGTATTACCGAGATATTTTACTTCTAAGGAAGATAAAAGGCCCAGTGGACTAGATTGACAGATTTTGGGAAGACAACCCTGGCTGTGTTCTCCTTTCGTCAAATGGTGCAGTAGCCCAGACACTTACTGAGGTTATGAGACTTGGATGCTTTGTCTCACAGGATTTCAACCTCGGTCTCCCAGAGGAAGCTCTGAGCTCCATGCTGATAAAACATTATGGAGGTGGAGATGAGTGAACAGGGAAGTCCTTTGACCTTCTTGTCCTTTCACTTTGCAGAAATACTGAAACATCCAGTACAGCAAGGACAAGAATCCAGGTGTTTGTCCTAGTTCCTAGGTAGGAGAGTGATTGTCTTTGTCTGTCTCTCTCAGTCTGTCTCTTTTCTCCAGCACAAACTGGGAGAAAGGATTCTAGCAGCTTCCTCAAATAACCCTAACTGTTAAGCCAAAATGCTCTTTGAAATGTCCTGCTAAAGGAGGGCCTGTTCCACACTGCCTGAAAATCTTAAGTTTTATTCATTGAGCTGGAGAAGGTGAGAGAAAGGCTCAGGTCTCCTGCTAAGGGAACTGTTCTGAAAGGTGGAATTTCCAGATTTTTATCCTGCTGATAAAGGATGCTTAATTATTTGTGCAACCTGGGACATCACCAACAACACCCACTGGCAAGGTGTTAGGCTGTCCTTACGGCAGTTAAGAGTTAACAAATTCAGCTGGCCAAGGAAGAAACTTGAGTTAAGTCTGCTATATCCTGGGATTTATCCTAACCTCTTCCTGCAATTGCCTAAAGGTATTCCTCATTTAATGTATCTTCTGTTTGAAAGAACTGAGCAAATCTGACTGAAGACACTTGGTATAACTGAACCCCTCTTTTTTCAACTCTCCTAATTGTGATGAAATTTCACCTGGCAATATAGCATACTACCATCTGCATAAATGACAGGTATGGTGTTTTTTTCTGGTAAAAATGACAGCTTGTTAGTGCATCTACTTGATCAAAGTTGCAGCTAGAATCTTAGCAAAATCTTATTTGTATTTCTGTCAGCACTGCATGATTATCATAGCTGTAGAAGACCAGAGACTAATCTGTTCTGTCTCGTGCAACATCAGCAAAATTACCAACTATGTTCTGATTCTGGATTTCTTTATTGTTGATGATGAATGATGTACTGGATGAAACAGAAGGAGTACATCTGGATTATTAGATATCATGCTGAGTGTGTAATGCTGACACTTAGGAAAATCTTGACTTGTAAGCTAAACACTTTTCATATGGAAGTCAAGGATGGATAATAAATAGAGCACCAGAATGTAAATCATTCATGTTCATTACTGCACTTTATATAGTAATAAAAGACAAAACCAGTACTTTAAGATGCCGACTAGTCTTCTGCAGCTTTCATTCTGGATGATTGCTACATCCTCCACAGATTAAATGAGACCAAATACTGCTATTGAAACACGAGGTTACAGTGCAATTCTCTAAATAAAAATATGCTATAGGACACATTTTATGAGAAGGAATTTTTAAAATAGCGTGTAGAAAATGCAAGGAAGCCAACACTTTGAGATTCTTATTGGATGCTGTACTCCATTCATTATGCAGTGATCTCTCATACAGAGGAGAGTTGCATTTGTATTTATGAGAAAGTGAATAAGAAGCCCTTCTCTACCATTATAATCAATTTAATGCACATGTGCTATATGTAGGATGAAAATGTGTCCTTTTTAATTCTACGTTAACTACAAGAGGAATAAACAGGACAAAATCTATGGGTGTGAATCCAGCATTCCAACATACTATTCTCGTGATGCTGATTGTTCTATAAATGGCAAAGCAATAGGAATTTTGGAAAATACTGTACATCCTCTCATGTCTTTAAATAATCACTGCTTTCACTGAGGAGAAGACTCAGACTTGAATTTGCTGGAACCAGCCTGAGCAGTGATTTTCCTAGATGTGGAAGAATAAAATAAGAAGTGATTAAGGGTAGGAACTGAGGAGAAAATGAGGGGACTTTTATTGAGCAATCCTACAATTGTTGTTTTCTAGTTCATTACCATTGGCATTGTAATTACTGTAACAATTGGACATGTGCCAGCTTTGAAGTTTTTAAGTGTTTTGGGGATTGGGGAATCAAGATTTTGGTTTGGTCTCATACAGAATAGCAAATAAGTGTATAAATAGCTTTTGCTGTCAGCAGATAACTTTGACACTAGTAGTGATCATTGTTTCTAAAGGGGTTATCATGCAGTTAACTCAAAAGACTGATTGGTATTTCACAGTAGCTCTCTAAATAATTTGTCTTACTACCATAGCAAGTACAAATTGTAACACTTGTGATTCATCTGCAAAACATACCACTTGCCAGCTGTTTTACTCAAAGTGCTTTGGCAGCGTGATCTGTCAGAAAGAAAGGTCAATAGCAAAATTAAAAAAAAACAACAGGGATTACACTGCAGTTGTCCACAGAGGATAATTTGCTCCAGCGACTCCATGGCTTTTTGCTTATCTTTGTGTGTTCTCTGTCAGAAGGGCTAACAGGCATTGTGAAAAGTTCCCTTGTTGACAACAGATCAGGGGAAACCATTATTTGCTGTGTTAAGCCTGAGCTGGCAGGACAGCTATGGAGAGCTGCGTGGCCAAGGTGAGAGTAGCGTAATCACCTTCAGACAGAACAGCTATCTAGCAGTCCTTAGTGTGTCCTACTGTTGGGGGTGGTTGGACCTGATTTACAGTGATTTCAACTGCAAACCATTATTCCAATTTTTATTTCTTCTTTAGTTTCATAGACACTGCCCAGATCTGGTGAATTTATTGATTCCAGTTAAGAATGAACTGATAGTTCCTTGAACTTTGTAAAAGGGTTGTTATTTTGCTAAACTCTAATAATGCTGGTCCTAAAGTTGGCTGTATGCCAGTAACAGCTACCAAAACCTTTGCTAAGTTCCTAACAAGTCCCTGTCAATTCATGTAAGTCAGGAGATTTGGAAAAATAGGTTTAATGCTAAAAATTGAATATCGCATTTTAGTTCAACCAAAAGAAAACCAGAACCCTTTTCTTAAACAGTTTGATTACTTCTTAATTTGTCTTAAAAATATACGATGTATGAATATGTCTGCATGCAATGAGTTGAGCAACTTGTAAAGTGAAAAAATTAAATCAAATTTACAGAAGCTTCTATGAAAAGAAAAAAGTTTTACATTCCTACTGGTCTTTAATAGAGATAATCAGAAATTGAAAATGCTACTTAGTCACAAAGTAAACCCTCTGCAGCTGATTCCCCTCATACTTCCTGTTTAAAGCTCCAGTTTGCTATTCCAAACCAGTACTTGCCACTTACTCTGAAAAGTAGCGTAGCAGCTCAACCACACAAACACCTTTTGTTCCACAGGTGATAATATATATCTTGTTCATGAGTGAAATTTATTTTGATAACACTCAATTTTCTTACCTGCTGACTACTTTGGTGATTACCATCCTCTCTGAAATGCAGTTTTCTTTCCAGGTCCTTTACAAGTGCAGCTTTATTTTCCCGAATAGAATCGTCTGTAGCTAATGGCAGAGGCTTCAGATTTTTCTTTGTTAATCCCTGGGTCGGGCTATTAAAAGAAAATTCTGATACTAACATGCAGCAACCAGTATATTTTTTTTGTCGTCTGTGTGATATGATGTTAGGCTTCAATTGAAACCTATTGTTTATTTACATAGAAGCCAGAGCACAACATGGAATTTTATTTTTTGGTACTATTTTAATGATGCATCCCATTCCCATGCCACTAGGAATTAAGGACGCACATCTTAAAGAGAATAAGCATTATAATACTACAATGAGTATCTAAGGTCCATTTATATTTATCATGGAATAATTATGTCACAATGAATGCTCTAAGAAATGTGTATAGGTGTTACCATAGGTATACAATTTCTACATTTTACTGTATCAGGCAATAATTTAAAAGCTAATAAAATTTCTCTCTAATCTTTATCTCACATCTTCAGTGATCATTTGCTCTTCCCACAAACTTTTCATGTTTCATTTCTCTCACTTTTTTATGACACCTAATATCAACAGTTCTTTTTATTTGATAGATGTAGTCTATTTTATTTTAGTAAGGTTTGAAAAATAGTTCAATTATTAAATAAGTCTTTCGGGAGACTGTGAGAGTGCACTGCTGAAGCACAGCAGCAGCACACTACTAGAGAGTGTGCAACGTTCTAGTAGTTTACCAGGAGTTGGCATTTTAGTAACATGGTCTAGGTAAAAGGCATAACTGATGATTGCTGATATCTTCCTTTTGTTGTTCTGCAGACATAGTTATCTCTCACTGCTTTTGTAACCAGAAGTATTATAATTGATAATGCCAAAAAAGGAAGCTGAAACTTCAATAGATATACACAGATACTGTTCAGGTTCCTTTTGGATCTTTTGGGGCCTCTCTTTGGCTCTCTCCCATGTAAAGATCTAGATTTGAGTCTCAGCGTGATGAGCTGTAGTTATGTGGGAATTCAGCTCGGGGCTGGGACCCAGGAAAAATGAAATGAAGAAAGCAATATTTAACTACTCTACCTGGTAGGCATATTGTAAGGATTTATTTGGTAAAGCCTGTACAACAGTTAGAAAAAGTAAAGCACTTTGCAGGACTTAAGTATCATTAATGCAAAGAGCTTGAGCACTTGTGCACCAGCTCTGAAGGGGAGGAAGGGAAGCAGGTGAGTACTTGCAGCTGATTTTTGCTTGCTGTTGCAATGCTGTGAAAGCAGGCCAAAGGCTTGAGTTGGGTGTAGTTAAAACCTTCACTATGAACCTTACAACTTTATAATCTACGTCTGCCCATGATGCCAGGGCCGTGAAGGCCTCCAGGCATGAGCCACAGGGTGATGGCGATTATGAGACTGTGCTGGGCAACTAGGAAATCTGGGAGTAGGAGTGCAATAATGGTTTGAAGGCAGGATTTCTTGGCCCACAGAGTAGGGAATCTTATGTATACAGGGACACTTTTTTCTGTTACTGTTACAGATTGGTTGATACAGTATCAGCAGGATAGTTAGGATATTGTGACTTACTGATGGCTATCGCTACCTTGAAGTATACCATTGGTAAAAAGGGGGAATATTCCTTACTTTGTGCGTAATGTGGACTTCTATGGATAAAAAGTTGTATCAATCTACTGGTGCTAGCCATGCTGACACTGGGTTCACATAGTCCACAAAAGGGATATTAATTTCAACTCTACTAGTAAAGAAGGAACTCTTAAGGCCACAACCTTTCCAGTACATCATCATCCTTATTTGAGTGTATGGTGGTAGCCATTTGGTCACAGAAATCATGCTATCTGTCAATTAAAATATTTATGTGCAAACCATTAACTCTCCTGAGATTTTCTGGGGGACTTTAATTATAGAAAGTATTGCAACCAGAAAAATGCCTTTACATATGTTATTTCTTAGATTTACCTGGACTAAGAAATAAGTTACATTATGAGGTACGTCTTAAAACTTTACTCATTACAATAGGTAAGAATGTTTTTCTAGCTCATATAGGCAAATGGTCTTAGAGTGATTTATCCTGCAAGCTCATGAAGTCTCTTTTCTCCCTCTATTACAGTCTTATGAATCACTAAGCACCCAAATTCTTGTGTATATAGGTTTATAAACTCGCATTTCTCTATCTTGAATTTATCTTACCTTTGATGTATCTTATTATAGAAGCTATCACCCCTTCCTTTCTTAACCAAATGTAAAGGTTAGATGAAATGACCAGAATATATGAATAACTCACTTTTCTATTTTGTGAATGACTTGCATTTCAGTAAACTCCCCACTGAACCCTTGAACAGAAATACATCTTAGTTTCCTTTATGAGTATTTCTTGTCCCTGCTTCTGCACATACGGTTCATGCAACTTACGTGGCTGGTGTACTTCTGGGCAGTCCCATAGCATTGGTTGATGGCACAGTAGGAAATGAAGGAAGAACAGCACTAAGGAAAGCTACTGGATTCTGAATCCAGCCAGTTGGGGAGATAGGAGCAGGAGTCACACTCTGCGGCTGGAACTGCTTTACACTAGATGTAGAAAGGGTTAATGGAGGCACCATGGATTCCTTAGGGCTTGGTAGAGACTGTTCACTTTTGCTTGTAAACCCTCCTGAAGACCTTGATTGTGCAGATGGAGGATTTGCTTTGAAATTTTCCTTGTTATTTGTTCTTTGAGCTCCTTGAGGGATGTTGCTGAATGTTGTAACTGAGGAGCTAGAAGAGGAGCTGGTAGGTGATGTGGTTTGTGATGGTAGGAACTGCTTAGGTCGGGTATAGCTGAATGCTTGTGAAGCAGAGGCTTTGCTTTGTTTGTACGTAGTTGAGGTGAACTGTTGATGGAGTGAAGTAGCAGAATTCAATAAACCTGTGTTGAATGACAACTCTTTTGTAGATGTCTGATGCACCTGCTGTTGTTCAAGCAAGACCTGATTGTGGAGCTGTTTTAACTGGGTCTGGTCACTGCATATAAGACAAAGATGAGCAAAATTGGTCATGAGCCCTGAATGTACTGGCTGACTACATTTCCATATGTGAATTGCAAGAGAAAAATTCTATGTCCTGTCATACAGTAAGAGGTAAGGGAAACTGCTACATGACATATTGTCTAACATTATGAGAAGAGCATAATATTATTTTGCTACTAAAATAAACCTTTCCTTCTCCCTTTTTTGCCAGAGGCACAAAAGCTTTTTGTCTGACACTTGTTTGGCTGAAGATGATTCTTACATTGTAACACATGAAATGCAAGTATAAATCTTACTTGAAGATATTTAAGGGATAGCATTGTTAAATTCTGCTCTACATCACCTTAGTACCTCTCTGCTTGTGCAACTAAGAGTAGGATTTGGTTTATCGATTTTAAATGAGCGTTTATGAGCCAGATTGCAGTTATTTAGCTCCTGTTAAAGTGGGTTCTGAAACCAGCATTTTGGCTAATAAAGCTTTGTAACAGTCCACCAAAGGAGATACTACCAATGTAGTTTAGGTGGTGTTGACATTCGGTGACAGACAAGAGTGCATCATTCAGAGAGGACTTGCATTTCATGCAATTGTTGTTTCCTAGATGCTATCTACTGTATATGTCTTCAGGGCTTTTTTACTTTGCAATTAAGGAAAATTAATTTGCCTTGTCAAGTGATTTGTTTAGTTATTATGTATATGGAAATACAGCATATGGAAACCAGGCTAACTTTTCCTCTTCCAAAAAGGACATAGAGGATATAGAAAATGATCATGTAATAAATTGTCAAGTATTAAATAACTATTGTTAAAAAGTGAAAAATGTAGAAGTAGACCAACCACAACTGGTAGTGACAAATCATGCCTTGTCAAGTGATTTGTTTAGTTATTATGTATATGGAAATACAGCATATGGAAACCAGGCTAACTTTTCCTCTTCCAAAAAGGACATAGAGGATATAGAAAATGATCATGTAATAAATTGTCAAGTATTAAATAACTATTGTTAAAAAGTGAAAAATGTAGAAGTAGAGACCAACCACAACTGGTAGCGACAAATCAAATACATTAAGTCAACAGAACTTTGTTTTATTTAAAAGAATTATTGTTTCTGTAAGGTATTAAACAAAAATCACATTAAAGGTCAATAAAAATAGCAATTTCAAGCTTTCAAAAAATAGAATGTTTGAGAGTTAGAAGTTGTGCAATCCTGATTTTGCGTCGTTCATGTATACATCTGCATAATAGTGCACTCCTTTGTTACTTTGCGGGGGGGGCGGGGTGTTGAGAGAAATTCTGCTTTATGCAAGCATTGGGCAACTTAAATACTGCTTCTGCTCGCCTCTTAGAAACACTGTAGCTCTGAAAGTAAATAGGGCTGTGAATCTGGGCTTAACAAATTAAAAAAAACATTGAAACACTGCTCCAAGTTCTTCCCTGAAAGTAAATAGGGCTGTGAATCTGGGCTTGACAAATTAAAAAAACCATTGAAACACTGCTCCAAGTTCTTCTTCTGCGACATGGTATGTAAGTGCTGTCTTCTCACTTGTAATGTTTATGCTATGAAATACATCCCTGGTTAAGAGTACCAATTATTTACTTTATAAAGTCCTTCCTGAGCCTTTGATTAAAGCTTCTGCCTGTTTAAGAAATGAGATGAAGGATTCTGCATGCTTTTTGTTAAACTAGATTTGGAAGGTTTCAGAAGTGCTGAAAAGATATTTCTTAATAAAGTGCAGCATGAATTGCATAAATTGTCCTCTAAAAAAACTACACTACTTCTGAAATTTTCCCCTTGAGCTGTCAGTGCATTAATCACGCAGGTACTTTTTAGTTCAAGTGGTTTCACATTACCAAACATTTCCAAGTATTTTATCTGTTTTAGGAGGAGATTACTTTTGTGAGACATAAAAGTCATGAGGCCTTTGGGACTACAGTTGCTATCTAGTTGCTAGCCCATACTATGTGTAAGACTGAATATATCTAGTTTTGGCAAAATTGCATACTCAGAATTGAGTGAGATATGTTTGAAGAATCTGCTTTTATTTTGCTTGCATAAAAGCATTTTTGTTCACCTTTTGTTTGCAGCAGAAAACATTGTGTAATTAAATAAAATCTCAAAGGGAAAACATTTTCCTTTTAAATTTGGAGAACACTTTTCCCAAGAGAGATATACATATGTTTTCTAGAAGTATGGTTAATTAGGCCAGCACCATGTGATACTGACTATCTTTTTGTTCTGTCTTGGAGTTTTTTGCTCTCGTGCCATACTGTCCTGGTCTATGAATACTAAATAATATCATTGATGCTCCTGCAACTTAGAATCCCATTTACTTACAGCTTTGGTTTAGCCAGTACTGGAGGGGGTTCCTTGGATGGCGATGTTGGCTCTGGTATTTTCATTGGCTGTCCATTTATCCTCTCTTGGAAATAGTTGGATCTGATTTGGTTTGTAGAGCCAGGTCCATCCTCTGATGATGATTCACCTCCTTTATCATCTTCAGGTAGCTTGAAGTGCACACGGAGACCTATCTTAGAACTCGATCTGGGTTCATTGTGGTTCACAAGAACGCCTTCAAGTTTAGGTTTGGGGGTTTTGTTTACTACACCATGGGTAGGAGTACGTGGGGGAGCTTGATGTTCAGCAGCAATTAAGTTGATTGAGCTCATTGTGTGAAGAGTAGCAGCATTACTACTGTCTTCAGGTGCTGAAATAGCAAATACGAAACTTTTGGTGATAAGTAAATACCGTAAGTTATAGTGAAATTAAATCACAAAAGTTACAATTGGAAAAACTTAGTCTTCTAGCTGTTGGACTGAGTTGTTTGATCTCATTTGTTTAACAACAAATTCCCTTAACAAAGGAATATTATAAAGGTGGGGGGAAAAGAGCCACAGTTCTACTTTGGAAGATCCAGCAGCGGTCTTCAGCCATGTCCTCCATGAATTCTACCAGCATCTTTGAAATACAAACTTTCTTTTCAGAGAATGCTCTGACTTTTTAGTTATGAAGAACACTGCCAGACCTTGAGCTGAATTGGAGTCAACTGTGCACTATACTTTTACATACTGTACTTTGCTCACCTAACTGTTCCATACCTTGGCAGCAGAAATCATGTAAGCAGTATGAAATAATCTGTTTTGAGGTTTCCTCCTTTGGGCTCTGCACCAAAGGATTCTTGAAACAGCAAACTAGATAGTCCATAGAGATTCCAAAAATGGCTAGTGCCCAAATCTTGAGGTCAGCAAGAGTTGTGTTTTCAGAAGGGCTGTGTGGGATTCATTCCCTAACGTTCCTTGTTCCTTCACATTTCTAACTGGGGAAGAACACTTTGAAAAGACACCAATCTATATGTTCAATAAGCAGCTTGGACCGTAAAGTGCAACAGCATGCTCTGCTTGTATTTACTAGCAAGCAAAGGACTGAAACAAAATCTTACCTTTGACAGTTAGATGAGCGATACTAGATACTGTTCCATATTTATTGCTTGCAGTACAGGTGAAGCTGCCAGAATCTTCTGAAAATACTTCAGCAATAACGAGAGTACAAATTTCCTCTGCAAAGTTTCAGAGCAATATTATTCCTTGAAGTGAACATGCGTTTTGAACAAACACACAAAGCCTTGACTACCCTTGGGGACATTTCCTTAAGGTTTTCCACCTTGCTCAGTTTGATTTTAGTTTCATCAGTATTATCAATTTTGGCAGCCTTTGTGTACAGCAGCTGTTATCAGCATTGTCTGCAGCAACTGGTACCCTCTGTGCTCCAGCATGCCCAACAAAAGTGAAGAACAGGTGTCGGCAGTATTTGGAAAACATTAGAAAATGTTTTCCTAATCACATGAAGCACAGACTTTCTCTCTGAAGAACTTAAAATTTAATTTGAAGAAATATAGTGTACTCTATACTCACAACTCACCAAAACACATGTATTTTTATCTCTTTGCAGATTGAAAGATTAGTTATAATTAACTGGGAGCAATTCAAGTGGAGTCACTCTGTATGGTGAAGAAATACAAAACACATACATATAGGCTGGCATTTTCCAAAAGTACCAGTGCAGATTCGCAGATAGAGAGGATTGTGCTAATTGTACTTACAGAAAGTTGCCTTTTCACTTCTTTGTGAAGAAGACTAATGGGCACCAAAAATGTGCTAGCAAAATTGTACTAGCAAAAATTAAATTCCATCTTGAAAAGTCAGTCTGGGATTCTGACATTCCTGTCTGACCAGTATCTGACATGTCCGGGCAGCAGTACCAAGCTAGTAAATACCTGTGGTGGTGGGATTTTAAATCTTTCATTTGGCCAGGTAGCTGGGATGGGGAGGGAGAGTAACATCTAAAGTGTATTGAAATGTGGGCTGATGGCATTTCTTCAACTAGTCAGACTATTTTGCTACCATTTTGCAAGAAACTTTCCTAAAACCCTACAAGATTAATATTTTATGAGTATTTCTGTAGAAGACCATACCACACTTAAACTTGATTGTTTCGTGTCATCACTGAGGAAAATCTAGTAGCAACAAAGAGATTATTTACTAACAACTATAGGAGAATAATAGTTTATTATAGTACTAGGATTATAGAACTAGTTTAAGGCATTATAGTATCTAGTTTATCATACTTGGATTTGCCAACCACTGCATGCATGGAAATCCAGATTCCTTCTGAATGAGCAGCCGGTGATGAGGCAGTGACAACTGCACCCAACTGATTACCCTCTAAAAACTGCTTCACATTACTCAGCAGTGATGCCACTGGACAGTAAAGGAACGGCATCGGTGGGTTCTGGTAGAAGCTCCATTTATTCATTCCTAAGTCTCAGCAAGAGACATTGCAGAAAGGAGCAGTCTCTTTTAAGACACTTTTTGGGGTAAAAAAACCTTTTCATAAGGCAAGGAGAAGAGTTACAGAAGTTTACATTCTGTAAGAATACTTCTTTGGTAATTTTCTGTCTTAAGAGGGGCAGCTTTATATTTTTAATCGTGAGAAGCAGAACAGGGAGGGTGATTGTCTCATGGAGAAATAATCAAAATCTATAAGGCTCCTTTGCTCAAATCATGCAGAGTAGCCTACATTCACTCTGACCCTTGAAATCAGCAAATCCAACCACTTTTGTAGGATTTGCTGATATCAGGGGTGGAACACCTGATGTGATACTCTCATATTACGCTGGTAGGGAGCAAAGGGAATGGCTGACATGGCTAAACATCTGATGCAATGTTCCCTAACGGGTAAACTAGATAAAAATAGCTCAGTTCTACATCATCTGGTGTACTTCTGAACCTCAGATATTCAGGGGACCCTCATACATTAATTTTGTTAATCTTTAGCTCATAAGGTGGTAACATTTGGATCCTAAGTTAGAACTAGGTCATAGCAGAATGGAAACATTATTTTCTTCAAATGTGAGAGAATTAATTCAAAGTATATGTTTATGGAACAGTCTACAGTGAAATGCAACTCACTAGTAGCTATAGAACAGGGGGGGAAAGAAGAGATTATGTTAATTAAATTATGGAGTTTAGATAATTAATATTTTGTGAGGTTAAATCACCACATTTGTATAATCAAAAAGTATGAGCCTTTTGATGATCCTTACCTGGTTCAGCCATAGATCGTGGTTCTAAAGGGAAGAAGAGCAGAATTAGTAGATTGAATATACTTACTTTTGCCAATAACTTTTTTTTTTCTTAAGCACTAGATATGAAGCTTGATCTTATTATGACAGAATACTCCTGTTGATCCAATTTTATGTTTAAAGTATGGTGGAGACAGCCAGGGCTTGTACTCAATGGTACGTCAAATCCAGCGAACAATATGAACACTTAGGAACACTTTTGAGAACTTACGAATAGGAAATAAATTCTGCAAGAAGTATTTTTTTGCAATCTTAGTACTACTATAGTGTGTCTTGAAGACAATTTCTGAAACTATTACACACATGAAATCAAGTTATGATAAAACATTGTTTCATTTTGGGTTGATTTATTGTGGTATTTAAGGAATTTCTATTGAGTTTTAGCAATTTTAGCATTCCAGTGACGTATGAGAAAACTGCAGGTGTTTTGACTGCATTTGAAAATTAAAGTAGAAGTATGTGTACAACCTATCATATATCATGTGCACACACATGTACGTGTAACCATGCTAACGTGTGCATCCGGTTACTTTTACGGATAAATAAGCAATCTGCTGCCCATAAGCACTGTTATAATAGCACTTAACTAAAAGATGAGGGATTTATGGGCGATAGAGCCCTACATAAATGGTGCAAATCCAAAAACAAGCAGCAGAATTAAGGCTGAATTAGAAGACGACATTGAAGTGGCAAAGGGATCAAAGCAGAAGGCATAACAATTCAATACTTTGGGGAATCTCAGACAAATACTACCTGGGAGTATGCTGTTCAATTTATCCACAGTTTTGGCTTCTGGAACCCAGATTTATTGCCGTAAATATGGCTTATATACTTCTTACCATTGTAGTACGAAATTCAAAGTGTTGCTATGTTAGCAATTTTTGGCTTGCCTATAGTTTATTAGACACAATATTTCCACACAAGAAACATACTTTTCTGTAATATCCTAAAATCTGGAGAATCTTCTATCAGTGTTCCTTCTCTATACCATTCAACCTTTGGGGAAGGAGCTCCTTTCACCCGACATTCAAAGACAACAAGCTGCCCCTCAGAAGCTGAAATATCCTGTAACATCTAATAAGAAAAGGAATAGACAGTCAGTAAATGTCTTATCAGTCTGGAATTAATACTGATTTCAGTGCAATTTCATAAAGCCACTTAAATCTTTGGCTTAAGAAATGCATAATTCCTTTTTTTTAATCTTTGATAGCTAGAAGATTTAAATTATCTCGCCATACAATTAATTGACCTCTTTAGTTTTCAAATATGTCATAGAACAAATTACCTTTGTAAATACAGGAGCAGCAATTATAGGTCTTCCATCCAGTCCTTGCAAATAGTTAGTGGGGCTTTGAGCCTGTAGATTGCAAAACATTATATGATGATGTTTAGGTGTACAGAGGATATTTTTCCATATACAGGAGAAATGACAGAAAAGAGATTTTGGTGGGTGAAGTCCAAAGCCAAGTATTGAATGCAATGAATAAAAGTTGCTCTGTTGTAGACAACTGCTAGCAATCTTCCTAGATGGGTTACTGCCTGAGTAACAAAAATGCTTTTATTGCCTTATTGAGTTAAACATGGCAGGAAGAACTTCACTGCAGTGTATTATAACATCTTTCAGTAGTACTTCACTAAGGCAAATCTATGTAGGCTGCTTGGTGATAGTCTCCTTTTAAAAATTCTTACTTAATAAATATCTATGGATGTTAATAAGGAAAAGTTAAGTCAAGTCATGTGTGTGACTGCTGCTGTAATTCTTCTCCTTTGCCAAAACCAAACTATTTACAGAGGTGGAAAAATCAGAATGAAATTATTCTCCGCCTGGAAAACTTCCTCATATAACTTGATTAATTGAGTTTTTCATTTTAGTGAAATAAAAGCTACCCCAGAACAGCAGAATTAGTGATTCAGATTCAGTATCTCAGGAAACACAGCTAAATTTTATAGATGGTGTCTTACAGGCCAACAAGTTTAAAAGTAGTAATTTTTTGAGATAACTATCGCTCTTGACTTAAGCAACCTCTGTCAAAATGGCAAAATGTTGCAAAGGCTTGGTTCTATTCTCTTTGTAATCAAAAGTAAATGTGTGTTACTTCACCTATTCAGTATCTGTTTATTGGTTACCACCAATTTTGGGCTGTAAATATTGAAAAGACAGTGTAAAACGAGTTTCTCATTAACTTCTCAGTTTTGTTTTTAAGTAAATATGGCTCTTCCCTATTTTGAAAGAATTCACAGTTACGAATATTCTGATAGATTGCAACAAAAAGGACTCAAAATGCATGGTAACATTAATTAGAAACTCTTTGATATGGATATGAGAATGTTATTTGCTAAACAAGCATATCTACATATAAAGTAAACATAGAGAAATGATTTAGCTTAAAAATAAGGTTGATTGAAAGAAAATGATTTGAAGTGAGTTCTGTAGGGAGGGAGAGGAAAAGTTCTAGGCTGCCGCTATTGAAAGTGAATGAGTCAGTTTGCAATGTGAAGAGGCCGGTGAGTCGACTTACGCATCCAAGTGCCCTTCACGGCATGCAGCCTCTGACCCACTGGAGTGCACACAGATTCCTGCCG